CAGTGTAGATTGCTTGCCTTATGTTGGTGAGGCCTTGGGTTCTATCCCCAGCACCATAAAGTAAAACAAACAAATACATGTCTCCATGTGACCACTAACCTTGGATCCAGGTAACCCTCCACCAATTGCTGAGACTGATAATTGAGAATTACTAATTCTAGTTTCTGTTCTGTCATCACTTTTTAGCCCACCACTGGCGAGGTAATCAAAACTGAGATTATTTTGTATCAAGAGACAACATGCAGGCAAAGCACTTATACACATAAAATAATTTTAAAAGATTAAAAACATTATTCTAGGTTTTGCATGTTTCCATATAAAGTTTGATTTTTTTCAATTTATGTGAGGAATTGTGCTGGGGATTGTGTTGAATCTGTAGATGGCTTTTGATAGGATGACCATTTCACAATATTAATTTACCAATCCGTAAGCATGGGAGATCTTTTTTCTGGTATCTTTTTCAATTTCTTTTTGCAATTTCTTAAAGTTTTGATTATGTAGGTCTTTCACTTCCTTAGTTTGTTTTTTGTTGTTGTTGTTTTTTGGGGGTTTTTTGTTGTTTTTTTTTTTGTTTGTTTGGTTTGTTTTTTTGGGACAGGGTTTCTTTGCATAACCCTGGATGTCCTGGAACTCACTCTATAGACCAAGCTGGCCTTGAACTCAAAGATCTGCCTGCCTCTGCCTTCTGAGTGCTGGGATTAAAGAATGCACCGCCACCAACTAGTTTATCTCAAGGTTTTTAAAAAAAGATTTGCTTATTTTATTTTATGTGTACAAGTGTTTTACCTGCATGCACGTCTGTACACCGTATGCATGTCTGATACCCAAGGAGGTCAAAGAGAACATCAGATCCCCCGGAACTGGAGTTACGGACAGCTGTGAGCTGCCATGTGGTTCCTGGAACTAGAACCCAGGTCCTCTGCAAGAACAAGTTCTCTTAACCACTGAACCATCTCTCCAGTCCTCCCAAGAGAAGTTTTGAGGCTATTGTGAATGGTACTGTTTCCTTTATTTCTTTCTCAGTGTGTTTGTTGTTTGTCTATAGGAAAGCTAATAATTTTGTGCATTAATTTGTATCCTGCTACTTCATTCGATACATTTATCAGCTGTAGAGGTTTCCTGTGGATTATTTAGAATCTTTTATGTATAAAATCATATTATCTGCAAATAAGGATATTTTGGCTTCTTCCTTTCCTATTTGTGTCCCTTGTATGTTCTTCATTTGTCTTACTGCTTTGGTTAAAGCTTTGAGTACTGTTTTGAACAGGAGTGGAGAGAGTAGACAGGCTTATCCTGGTCCTGATGTTAATGGGAATGCTTTGACTTTGAGTGTTGTCTGTTTCTGTTTGTTAAAGCTTCCAAGTTTACCAGGAAGTTATTAATATAAGAATGCTCAAGCTTTTTGATGAAAGCACTGAATATTAAATTTTTCCTCTTAGAACGACCTTCATTGTGTCCCATAGATATTGTATCCTTATTTCACTTAATTCTAGGAAGTTTTTTAATTTCTGTGATTTCTCCCTTGAACCAGTTTTCATTAAATAATGTGTTTGTTTACTTTCCATGAATTTGTGTACTTTCTGCCATTTCTATTGTTGTTGATATACATAGATTTACTCTCAGATAGGCTACAGAATGGTATTTCAGTTTCCCTATGTTTGTTGAGATTTGCCTTGTATCTTAATGTGTGGTCAGTTTTGGAGAAAGTTCTATGAGCTGCTGAGAAGAATGTGTGTTCTTTAGTTTTGGATTAATGTGCTGTAGATATGTTAGCTCTGCTTGCTTTATGATATCATTTAACTCCAGAGTGCCTCCATTTAGTTTTTGTCTAGGTGACCTGTCTGTTAGTGACAGTTGGGTATTAAAGTCACCCACCACCACTGTGTGAGAGTCAATATGTAATTTTAGAGCTAATTTATGAAACTGGTTGCCCTGTTTTTGATATGTTTAGGATTGGAATATTTAGACTTTTCCTTAAGTGAGTATGGAGTACCCTTCCTTATCTCTTCTCATGAGATTTTGTTTGAAGACTGTTTTGTCAGATAGTAGAACACTTGCTTCCTGGTTCCATTTGTTTGAGAATTCCTTTTGCTATGCTTTTACCTTAAGATGGTATCTGTTCTATCTAGATGGTGTGTTTCTTGAAGACAGAACAAAGATGGACCATGTTAGTTTGTATCCTTTTACTGGGAAACTGAGACCATTAATACTGAGAGTTGTTGTTGAACAGTGTTTATTAATTCTTGTTTTGTTACTGTGGTATTGTTTTCTCAGACTTCTGTCAACTGGTGCCTCCCTGGGTGTGTTTAGTCTTCCTTTCACACCAAGGTATTCCCTCCATTATCCTCTGCAGAGCTGGTTTAGTGGGTGTAAATGCCTTAAATCTGTTTTTATAGTGAAATTTTTATTTCTCCCTTAATTACAACTCCTAGTTTTGCTGAGTATAGCGGGTTGAGTTGGCAGCTGTAGTCTTTCAGAACTTGTAAAACGTCATTCCAGGTCCTTCTTGTTCTCCAAAGACTAATCAGTGTGTTGGTGACTAGAGAGATGGCTCAGCAGTTAGGCTACTATCCCAGATGATCTGAGTTCAAGTCCCAACACCAAGAGATGGCTTACAGCCATCTGTAACTCCAGTTTCAGGTTCACAGAGTACCAGTCATACAAGCAATGCACCTAGGGAAAGCACTTCTATACAGAAAATAAAAGTAAATCTTAAAGAAAAATTACTGTAATTCTGATGGACCTGTCTTTATATGTGATTTCATCTTTCTCTCTTGCAGCTTTTAGTATCTTTTTTTTAGTCCTGTACATTTAGTGTTTTGGTTACTATGTGTTGTGGGAAGTTTCTTACCTGATTCTGTTTAGTGTTCTGTATACTTCTTGTACTTTGATAGGAACCTCCTTCCTTACATTGTGGAGAGTTTCTTCTATGATTTCATTGAAAATATTTTCTTTGCCTTTGATCTAGTTTCTTCTCCATCTTCTATACCTATAATTTGTAGGATTGATCTTTTTTTTCATTATCCCAGATTTCCTGGATGTTTTGTTCTTAGTTGTTTGGGGGTTGTTTGGTTTTGTTTTGTTTTGTTTTTTTGTTTGTTTGGTTTTTGGTTTTTCAAGACAGGGTTTAGTCTTAGCTGTTTTGTTTTAGATTTAGAATTTTCTTGATTAAGTGATCCATTTCTTTTTACCTTGTCTTCAAGATTAGATGTTCTCTCTTCTAGTCTAGTTTTGGCAATATTTAGCTCTTTGTTTGGCTTTGTGAATTTTTTAAAACTTATTTCCCTTTGGTTTTTCTTCAAAGATTCGCCCTCTTTTTTAACTTCCATTTTCATATCTTGAATTATGCTCAATTTTTTCATTCAACTGTTTTGTTCATGGTCTTCAGGCATTTATACATATCCTTTGAGTTCCTTGAACATATTTATAATTGCTATTTTGAAGTCCTTATCTTGTGTATCAGCTAAGTAGCTTGTCTATGGGAATATTCCAGTGGGAGTGCTGGTTTCTGAAGGAGACTTGCTGTCATGGTTGTTCATGGTGTTTGTGCTTTTTCGATGGGATGGAGGCATCTGGAGTCAGGTTGCTTGCAGTGTTTCTTGGTGTGGATATCTGGTCTCACTCTTGTTGAGTGTCTGCTTGCTGTTCACTTTGCTTGCTGTGGACCAGCTGAACGGTGCTTGTTTTTCAGTCTTGAGGCCACTCCAGGTTTCATGGTGGGACTCCCCATGGTCCCTGGTCAGTTCTGTGGATAGCATGGCTGGCATTCAGGGGAACAGAAGCCTGTTTTTTGGGGTTTTTTGTTTGTTTGTTTGTTTGTTTGTTTTTTAGAAGACCTATTCCTTCTGACTTATTGAAGGTGAAAGAAAAGAAGACATTGTCTCACACTAACAGACTATTTGAGAAGGCAACCAAGCAACATTAAATAAAGTATATCATGAACTAGACACTGCCTGGGGCATATAGTGGATACCTAGTCAATGTTAACCAAATCTTTATGTAATAGTTCCTAGATCCTCACCTCTAGCCTTAATTACTGATATATTGAGCCATCAAGATGGCTTATCAGGAAGAGGCACTCCATGTGCAATCCTGACAACCTGAGTTTGATCCCCAGATCCCACAGTGAAAGAGGAGAACTAACTCTTAACGTTCTCTTCTGACCTCCACATGCCTGGCAGGTGCAGGCCCAAACTCAAGGACTCACATACACACAGACAATAATATTTAATTAAAATTTACAAATTTAATTAAACATCAGACATTATTATTTAGTCTTGAGAGGAATTAGTTGATTTCATTTATGAAATTCAATTGTTCTTATTAATAAAAACCCAGAGACAGATATTGGGTTTAAAGCTGAAGATCAGAGAAGCAAAGCAGCCAGCCACTAGAGAGTTCTTACCACTACCAATGTCCAGACCAAAGGGTCGATCCTGTCCTCAGACTGCCTTCTGCTTAGACTGCCTCTCTCTCTCCGGTCTCCTCCTCCCTTATATTCTTCTCTGTCTCTGCCCAGCCATATCACTCTTATGTCCACCCTCCTATCCCACCCGCACCCACAAGTGATAGGATTAAAGATGTGTGCCACCACTGCCTGGCCTCTATGGCTGACTAGTGTGGCTAACTTTGCACTCTGATCTTCAGGCAAGCTTTATTTGTTAAAACACAAACAAAATATCACTACACACTTGCATACCCACAGGCTTTCTGAACACATCCCATCTCCTTCTGCAGCTCTGCACAGGAAGCTCCTCTGCTGCCTTTCATCAAGCTGTTTTCTAACAGCTAACTTTGGATTCTGACAAGAACCCCCTTCCATTCTCTGGAGCCAGGAGCTGTGCAGTCACTTTGGAGTCTCCCCTCTCTGCATTGTTTTTAAAGCACTCTTTTTCTTCAGAGCCATGCTTTAAACTAGAACTTAAGACTGAGCCTCTGTGAACTCCCTGAGACCGTGTGCTCTGGTGATTAATGGCAGACAGGTGTGTGATTCCATCTTCATCACTTGATAGCTCCGTGACATTACAGACAGACTAAACTGTAAACAACCACAGTGGTGGGAATTAAATCGTCTTCAGATGAAGAACTGCTTGTGAGCTGGGCGTTGGTGTGCACACCTTTGATCCTAGCACTCTGTGAGTTCGAGGCCAGCCTGGTCTCTAGAGCGAGTTCCAGGATAGGCCCCATAGCTACAGAGAGAAACCCCGTCTCGAAAAACCAAAAAAAAAAAAAAAAAAAAGAAAAAAGAAAAAGAAAAAGAAAGAGGTGCTTGTGTATGTAATTGTCAGCTAGCACTGTTGTGCCTCCAGCTAAATGTAGCTCCACAAAGAAACTCCAATTCTCCAAATTCCAAAAAGCAGCCAAAATATCTGGAAATGAGGTCAGCCTGGATTATAGGAAGATTTCCCACCCACAAATTCTCTCCAGCTCATGGGCTTCCCTCCCTAAAGCTACTTGTTCTCCTTATAACCCTGCTATTCTTAGTATGTCCTCTCTATATTCTGTTCCTGCTTCTCTCACTCTTTTCTCTATTCTCTGTCCCCTGCTATTCTCCCCCCTCCTCTTTCAGATATTCCTGGCCATGTCCATTCTGCTTTCCCTCTCTGCTCTGGACTCTTCCAGATGCCTCTGACTCTCTTTCTCTCTCTCTCTCCCTCTGCCTCTCTCCCTGCCTCTGCCTCTCTCCTATCTTTTTCTCAAGTAAGCCCCATGCCTATAATGGTAGAAGACATACATACGGGAGGCTCAAAATAGCATTAAATATAAGAATAAAGTAGTTACTTTGCTTTGGAGTATCTGGGAAAACACAGATTTTTGTTGTTGTTGTTGTTGCCATTGTTAAAGTCCAAGAAAGAATTCTGAGACTGCTTTAGATTCTAGTTCTTGCTTTCTGAAAACAAAATTCAAATAAACATGAAATTATAATGAGACAAGTGAATGTACTAGGGGATGGTTTTGAGACAGGGTTTCTCTGTGTAACAGCACTGACTATCCTGGAACTAACAGAGATCTGCCTGCCTCTGCCTCCTGAGTTCTGGGATTAAAGGCGTGCACCACCACGGCCCAGCAAGTGAATGTATTCTTAAATGAAAACATCAAGTCTTCTGATGGAAGTAACTTTCAAAGGTGGATGTGCTGGGCGAGGTCTTTTGAAACTGAGTAAGTTTAACAACCATCTGAAATGCTTGTAAAAATACAGACTCCCAGGCCCTAATCCAGGCTCCCTGAATTAGGATCTCAGAGGGGGGGGGGACTGAGAGTGGGTTTTGTTTTGTTTTCTTTTCAAAACCTTGGGTGAAGCTAGGCATAATGGTGTAACCTGCAATCCTAGCACTTGAGTGACTTAGGCAGGACTGTGAGTTCAAGGCCAGCCTGGTCTACATAGCAAGACTTGGTTTCCCCACCCTACAAAAGAAAGAAATGTGGATAATTGTTACCAGAAATGGAGTTTAGACAATACACTTTCTTTTCAATTTTTTTTCTTTTATTTGTGTGTGGGCCTCTCTCTGTGTTCTGTTCCTCTTCCTCTCTCTCTCTCTATGCTTGAAGATTAAAAGACAACTTGCAGGAGATGGTTCTTCCTTACCATCATGTGGGTTTATGGTTTTGAACTCAGGTCTTTTGGCTTAGCTCCATATGCCTTTACCCATTGAGCTGAGCCTTCTCACTGGCCCAACAATACACTTTATTTTGTAAGTTTCAGTTGGATTTCTGTAGCCAAGTGTGTATTCCAGCTATTTATATTTATTTGCCTTGTTTCTGTAACACTCCAGGCCCGAGGACTTACGCCGAGAATTTGGTCGCTATGGCCCCATAGTAGATGTTTACATACCACTTGACTTCTACACGCGACGCCCCAGAGGGTTTGCTTACGTTCAATATCCTTTATTTTATGTGTGCATGCAACTGTACTTCAAACTTGTGCTTATACACATATAAGTATGTTATTGAATCAACATTCTCTAATTAAATGTATTTGTTTCTTTCTCTCAGAGAATCTGAAACGGTCCACAGTAGCCGGCAAGTGTCCTCCCCTCCCCCACAGCTTGGTTCTCCTTGTTAGCTCGACTCCAACCGTAAGCCTAGCAGGCATGACAAAAGGCACCCAAGTTCACGAAGAGAATATAGGGAGGGTGGATACAGGTGGAGAGTCTGGAAGAATGAGGCCTTTATGAAATGAAAGACAGGACAGTCTTTGAGGCTTTGGCTTTCCCATATTTATTCGGAGTTCTAGAGTCAAATCCAAGTCTGATTTTATTGGTTCTACATCTCTGATAAAGTCCACTTTGCAAGTCCTAAAATGTAAAGGTCAAGGTTCAAGACCCAGTGTCACTGAGGTCATTGTCAGCCTCCTTTTGTATGCATTATTTGAGCTTCCTTGTTTATTTGCTATTTTGAGAAAACTAGTAACATGGCCCAGCATGATGGCTCATTCCTTAAATCCTAGCTTGGGGAGCAGAGGGATCTCTGTTGGTTCAATATATGGAGCTTCAGGCCAGCCAAACTTCAAACTACAAAATGAGAGAAGAGAGAGAGAGAGAGAGAGAGAGAGAGAGAGAGAGAGAGAGCTAGTAAACAGCCTCCTGAAATGGTATTTCCATTTTACACAGCTACTGTCCATTATAGTAAGTCTTGGGACCATATGCTTTAGATAAGGGAATTTAATGGAGCATTTCAAATCAGTATATATGATTCCAGATGGCCACAGATTGTTTTTGAATGAAAAATAGACACAACTGCTCCTAGATATGGCTGAGGAAAAAATTCCATGTAGATATGAGAGAGAACTCAACCAGAGGCATCTGGAAGGGCCCAGACTGAACTGAACCATGGGGATCAGGGGTAGGCCAAGAGAGGAACCAGTACCCATACATCCAAAATGGCTGTCTTACATAGGGAAGAAAAGCTGGGGGACCGGAAGGGAAGCTCAGGGACTGGTTAGGGTAGGAGGTAGAGTATTCCAGCCAGGATGACACTGGAACAGCCACTTGCAATGCTGAGAAACTGGTGGCCAGTGTCCACTTTCATATGTTAATAGGCACTCAGTTAGCCATCTTTCCAGGCTTCTTTGAGACCTAACCGGCTTCCTGTTAATTTATACTTACATCCCAGTAGTAACACAAAGGGGAACTGTTGAAAGTAGTAGGTTCAAAGGTAGGCACTGTCCTTAAATTACAGAAGTAGTCCTTTGTGTTAGCTTTCTTTTATTGTTGCAGTTTTGTTTATAATGAATCATTTCTCCGAAACTTCATAACTAGGCTTTTACCGATAGAGTACTTTTGCTTGCAGAATAAAAGCTTCTGCATGCTGATATTTTCAGTGAAAACCCTGATGGATCCTTTCTCTGACAAGGGCTGGGGGAAGAGGCATGCAATAAGCCCTAAATAGTTTATTTTATAATGTCAGCTAATTTGAGATTAATTCTTTTCTCACGTTTCAAATTATGCTGCTAATTGTATCTACTGTTCTATTTTTGTATTTAGAAAACCACAAGAGGGCATTTGTTTTCATAATAATATATAAAAGCTTTTCTGGTTATTCATATTGGAGCCAGAACTTGGTTTTCTTGTCAATTTAATTTCACATATGAATAATAACCTAGAAATATTTTTACTTACCATCTGATGTCTATAGTGTCCTTAACGGCTGATCATGTTTGAAGATGTTCGAGATGCTGAAGATGCACTTTATAACCTCAATAGGAAGTGGGTGTGTGGCCGGCAAATTGAAATACAGTTTGCACAAGGTGATCGAAAAAGTAAGTGTAAATGACCATTAGATCTAGGTTACTTAGCAGGACTGTTGTTACCTTTACAGTGTCAGCAACAGTAACCTGTTATTTAAAGTTCTTCAGAAAATGATACTGACTGAGTGGCAGCTACCATGGTTTTCAGGTAGTGAACT